CAGAATTTATAGCGGGCCAATTAAAAAATAGAGTTTCTTTTCGCAAAGCAATGAAAAAGGCTATAGAATTAACTGAACAAGCAGATACAAAAGGAATTCAAGTGCAAATTGCAGGACGTATCGACGGAAAAGAAATTGCGCGTGTTGAATGGATCAGAGAGGGGAGGGTTCCACTACAAACCATTCGAGCTAAAATTGATTATTGTTCCTATACAGTTCGAACGATCTATGGGGTATTAGGCATCAAAATTTGGATATTTATAGACGGGGAATAATAAACCTTTATTCCTTTTGCATTCTATCCAGCGATGGAACAAAAAATGAGAAATTCGTTTCTTCTTTTTATTTTGTGTTCAATAAAAAAAAATGAACAATTATAATTCTATAGGGTTGAATAAAAATTCAATTAATCTTTTGATAAAATTGCTATGCTTAGTGTGTGACTCGTTGGTTTTTTGAGGGTTAGTATAAAAAACCAGCCCCACGGTATAAACAAATAACTATAGAAGTAATAACCAACTCATCACTTCGTATTATCTGGATCCAAAGAATCAGTCAAGATATGATATATTGTTCATATTGTTGTAGCAACTGAAATCTTTTTTTATTATTTATTAAAAAATATGCTTCTAAGTTGTCAATCGAAATAAAAAAGAAAGGGTATGGATAAATGGAAGGATGAGAGAAAGAAAGAAAAAGAATATTGATGATATAGAATTCCAATATGTAAGGTCTATGAGTCATCTCAGAAAAAGCTGTGTAATAAAGCATCAATACGGATTCATCATTAACATTAAATGGATCTGCTCATCGAACAAAAAATAAAGAGCTTCGAGCCAATAAAGGCTAAGAATATTGACTCAAGAACTAATAGCTCCATTGTAGAATTCAGACCTAACCATTAAGTAAGAAGCGATGGGAACGATGGAACCTGTGAATTCAAAAGATTCTAGTGAAAATGAATTCGAATGATTCATGGATCGGGATGGCGGAACCGACCAGAAACCAATTCATCTATTCGTAAAAGTTATGAGCTAATGATAGAACTGAAATAGAAATTGAAAGAGTAAATATTCGCCCGCGAACACTTTATTTTCTTGGATTGCTAAATTTGGGTCAATCCAATACGATAAAGAGTAAAACAAAAGAAAGATTCGTTTTAACAGCCTAAAATAGATAAATATAAGAAAAAAATAGTTATGTTATTTAATATATTTAGTTATCTATACAAACAAGATATACAAATTCATAATAGATTTGATCTAGATTAAATGAAATCCATGATTCATTATATTACTTATTAAATACATGTATATTTTCATTCAAATTA